ATTCATTAGGTTTTTCCCCCCCTGAATTCAGAATCCTCTCTCTTCTGTCTCATTTCATGATTTAGAGCTTCTCTGTCAGATCCTTCTTCCAGGCCAGGAACTGGGAGTAGGGAAATGAAAACTGAGTTCTGGTTAAAGGACAAGTGGGTTAGTTTAATTTCTTATATCAAGAAAACCATCAGAATTTCTCATGTTTTTATTAGTCAAGAAACCTGGCCAGTCCTGGAAAGCAAGTGCTTTTGAAGTATTAGCATACTTTTGCACCTTCTCTTTGTAAAAACAAAGCCAGTAGACCGTGATGAAGGAGGAAGCTCGGTCTCTTCATGATGTTTCCTTCCTGTGTTGAGAATCTGATTTGTGGGGAGTTTCAATGAGTCGATGCATGCATTTTGAGGTATTTGGTTCAACTGTCCAGTCCTAGATTATTCAAGAGCATTATTGCCTGTCAAAGAACATGAGGCCATACTTGTGTAACTGTCAGGATATTCTGCTTCTGTCTGGTTATTTTAAGACTAAGAAAAGTTCTGTTGCAGTCACCTGCTAAAGAGCCTTCGCCTAAAACATCTCTAAAAGAATAGCATGTGTAATACACAGGAGATGATACAAAAGACAGTGTTTTGTGTCTGCAGCAAACTAAACCATCTTTTCTAGGGTAGCTGCAATAATTGTGGAAAGAAAATCTCCAGTATTAAATCTTGATAAAACTCAGATCACTTGAATAATTTCTGTTGTTGTTTCATTGTTATTGCCTTCCATGAAGATCAGGGGACGCAATTTTGTATACATAATTTTAATTATTTTCCTTTGGCAAAGTAGATTGCTCTTGGTCTGTCAATACTGCTATTTTGAGTTTCTTGTGTTACCTACACTTTCTTTAGGAACTACTTGGTAAACAGGCTGAAAAGTAACCTAACTAGGAAAAAATATCCATCTTTCTGTTTTTCAGAAACAACATTTCCAAATGAAATAAGAATAATTAATACACAATAATTTTTCTCTTCAGATTGACTTATTTTAAAAACCCTGTAAGATAGAATACATTTAAGAAAACATGTAAAAGTCCCGAGTAAGAGCTTGTTTTCAGAAGCCTGTATTAAAAACTAGTTAATACTCAGAAGTGTGTATATAAAAATAAAACATGAGTGCTTGGTTGTAACACAAGTTTATATTCATTATTATAGTTTCAGGATATTAAAGATATCTATACATAGAGAAATAGATGCGTAAATTATGAGTAGCAAGTTTGGTGGTATTAAAATTATAGTATTTGACTATCTGATGCTGATGCATAGTATTAATTAAGAGAGAGCTTATGATATATTTGGGTTTTACTTCATTGAGAAGCTTCCCTTCCTGGTTTGGGGAGGGATTTTTTTTTTTTTTTTAAACATGTTAATAATTAGCAATGTATCCTTATACTTTAAAGTTGCATAGTTGCTTCAGGTTCTTAAAATGGTGCTGCTTTTCCCCAGAAAAGCAATCTTAGGGTAAATTCTAGACAGGCCTCATCATTGAGCTTTTGCTGAAACAGAAGTGCTAGGTCGTCTGTAAGCATACAAGTTTCACAGATTTAAACTGAAATGGTTTTAAAAAATGAGTTTAGTTGCACTTGTGCATAACTTTGCATGGACATCTTCTAAACTGATTTATGCTGATCTTCAACTGATTAGGCTAAATAGATATTTGTGCTGGTTTTGACTGGGATAGAGTTAATTTTCTTCATAGTAGCTAGTATGGGGCAGTGGTTTGGATTGGTCTGAAAACAGTGTTAATAACACAGGGATGTTTTCGTTACTGCTGAGCAGTGCTTACACACAGTCAAGAACCTTTCTGCTTCTCGCAGCACTCCACCAGCAAGGAGGCTGAGGGTGTGCAGTAAGTTGGGAAGGGACACAGCCGGGACAGCTGACCCCAGCTGGCCAAAGGGATGTTCCTTACCATATGACATCATGCTCAGCATATAAACCTGGGGGAAGAGGGAAGGGGAAAATGTTTGGAGTGTTGGCATTTGTCTTCCCAAGTAACCACTATGCATGATGCAGCCCTGCTTTCCTGGAGATGGCTGAACACCTGCCTGCCTGCCAAAGGGAAGTGGTGAATGAATTCCTTGTTTTGCTTAGCTTCTGTGTGTGGCTTTTGCTTTGCTTATTAAAACTTTTTATGTCAACCCACGCGTTTTCTCACTTTTACCCTTTGAATTCTTTTCTCCATCCCGCTGCGGGGGGAGTGAGCAAGTGGCTGTGTGGTGCTTAGTTGCTGGACGGGGTTAAACCTTGACAATATCACATACTTGTGAATTAGTTTAAATGTGCTCTTGTGAAGGTTGCACCATTTTCAATAAATGGTTAAAGTCTTTAAACCCAGAGCAACTTCCTTAAATCAACCTTAAATTCTAATTGAGATCATAGCAAAATTTTCACTGTAAAGACAGAAATGTCAGTCGTGTTCACAGTGTTCAACTATGTCTAATGTTCAACTAATCTTGAATGACTGTGTGTTGTTATGGGAAGTGAGTATCTGAGTGCTCTCAGTGTATAAAGTAAAAAGTTTAATTCTATTCGTTCTCCTTTATATGTAGTCTTATGCAAATTTCTTATAGAGCAGTTACAGTAGCTGTATATTCAGAAGACTTTGATTTTTAGAAGCCTTATGTACTGCTGGCACAAATACCTTCTAAAGGTAAAGTAGATGTGACTTCCACGCAGTACAGTGGGGAATATTTAGTTGTTAACAGGCCCAAGGGCTTGGTAGGGATGAGGAGTTGTTTTTATATATAGTTCCTAATTACATGTTTAATCTCCCATATTTATAGCTTAGTTAAGCCAGGTTTAAAATCACAATCTCATAGTATAATTAAAATTACTTAGTCAAATCTGCTGCAGTGGTTGAGGTAGAGGATTGTATTTTTTCAGTTTTGCTGTTGTGACCACTATTGAAAGCTGACTTGGCAGAAAGCAGTCCCTTTTTCTGGATAAAAGGGAAACAGGCTATGAGATAAGTTATTGATGAAATTAACTGCTGAAGTGGAGAGGAAATGCAGCTGGCCAATACATGTCATAGTGTGAGCTCTATTAAATGAATCTGTGTGCAGTCAGCCATTCACAGGAGCCACACTGGTCTTGAACTGCATTGATCTATAGTATAATTCTAAATGAAATTGATGGAAGAGAGCAACCATTGACAGGAAGGGTAAAGAGAACCATGAAATGTCTTGTACAGGAAAAGTATGATGGAAAGTAGGCTCATCTATGCTGTGGATAGAAAGTGTGGTGAAACTGTGTATTTCCAGGTGTTCCTAGGTACCTTACAATTAATTAAAATGCAGTGTATGTCAAAAAGTGCTTTATAGTATTTTATTTTTAGAAGAAAATCCATAAAGAATTGAGTCAAGAATTTAAGATCAGCTTTTCAAGAACTTTAGGGACAACTTTACAGCTTGCATCCCTGAGCTTTGGTTGAAATTCAGTTGTGACAATGTGTTCTGAGAGGTGTTTATATTAACATTTACAAATTTGATTGAACTGCATACTTAATTTAAATACAGCTGTTAAACGAAGGCTTGTAACCTGTTTTGGAGACTGTTGTGCAAAAGTGTTACATTCTAGCCAGATATAATTTCAGGTAGCTTCTCTCTCAAGTATGTCCTTTCAGACTGTTAGCTCGTTGAACTGATTAATTTACAGGCCTTGATGAATAAAACATCGGGTTCTGTTAGATTTTACTTAGATCAGGGTCCACCTGTCCTATAAAAGAATCTCTCTTCATTTTGTCTTCACTGGTAGGTATCCTTTCTTGATGTGCTGCCTTTTACATTCACAGCTCCTAGAACATTGTCTTGGCTGTGTAAGAAGACTCAAACAAGAATAAACTCCTCACACTGAAAGAAACACTGTCCAATCATATTGCTTCTAGTGATGAACCTACTGTGTTAATTTTTATTGGGTTGGTTGAAATATAGAAGGAATTATGGGTATATGTGTATCTATAGTTGTTTAAAATTTACAAATAACTAGAAAAATCTATTTCATACTCATAGCACACAATACCAATACAGTTGCAAAGCTGTAGGGTAATGGAAGTGGTAATTATGACTGAGGAAATACTTAAGGTTTCTTTAGTGTAGCAATCGTGAAGACTGTGGCTAAAATTTTACCATCTTTTTAAAGGCTTCAAACTAATGGCTAATTGCATCTGGTTTTAACAGATATTCAATGTTTGTGTAGTCATCTTTGAATCTCAACATTAGTAACCCATGTAATAGTCCAGACTTGATGATATCCATTGTACTAGTTATTGGGGAAGAGAGAGGTTCTAAACTGATCTCAGTTTTGTTTCTTGAGTACTAGTCTTCTGTCTGTAAAGCCTGTATCTTGAGCTTCCCACGTATTTTAAGTACTGTGCATGTGTTGACAGGTTTCTTTAGCCTTACATCCTTGACAATTACAGATGATGGAAAATTATTGAGGCATAGTCTGTCAGGACCCATATTGTTTTGAATGGTATCCACGTTAAGGAATTACTTTAAAATAGCTTTTTCAGAGAAGCCAGGAGACTATAAGCAGTAGAAGTTTGTGATGGCATACCAGCAGAGAGTCAAGAGGCACATTATTCTTTTGTGTTGGAATTGTGCAAGTTACAAAATTCTGGAAAAAACCAAACCCCAACCTGTTTCACCTTCAACCAGTGAAGTTGTATCTTTTGCTGATAGCATTTGGAAATCCATTAGGAACTATTAATAAACCTGTAAAATAGGATCCCCCCCTCCCCCGTTTGTAAACAGGCATATTGTTAATTTTAACAGAAAAATTGTGCTATTTTGTGGTATCTGGAGCATTCCTAGAAGAAAGCTCGCAGGCATTCCAAATATGAATCTTTTTATATGTAGCATGTTTACTTAAAAACAGTTGTAAATTGCTTTATCTTCACTGTTCTAAACTTTTTTAACTCAAACTGAATTTTTGATATTAAAAAAAAATAGTTTGTCTCTTTATAACTTCAAGGTTCGTGTTTCATTCGAACTGACCAGCTTGATGGAGAAACAGACTGGAAACTGAAGGTTGCTGTCAGTTGCACACAAAGATTGCCAGCTTTGGGGGTAAGCATTTTATCTGCTTGCTTTTAAGATACTTTCTGTGTATGTATATATATCTCTTAAATAAAAGATTGTAACAATAATTGTAAGTATTGGAAAATATCTGTTACCAAAGTCTTAGTTTTTACAGTAAATAGGAGGTAGATGTTTTGCTGAATGAGAGGTTGGTTAAGCAAATATTCTTGGGTTTACTTGAAAGAAAAAAAAAAAGTCGGAAGTGGATTTTTATCTTTTGACTTAGTGATTCTGATTGCGGTCCCCACTGAGATCCATACTCTGCAGGAGCACATCGGAACTGTAGTGTTTCCAACCAAGCGTCATACTGCAAATGCAGTCATTGTGCCTTAGGAACCGCTGCTTCAGTCACTGACTTGTAAGCTTCGCAAACAGCACTCTGCTCTTGGAAGGTGGAGTGCGCATTGCAGCTGCTAGACCAGAAGGCATTTAGAAGGCAAAAAGCAAGCTCTTGCAGGGAGGGCTCTCAGAGGTGCCTGAATGTGTGTATCTTTTGAGTGCGTATACGTCGTGTCCCAGGTTGCTATTAAAATCATGAAAAAGGACACGTGCATGTATGTGTATATAGGTACAAAAATACATGTAGAATTGTGTAAGTGTCTCTTCCTGAGAAGCTGAATTGTATTGCTTTTACTGGGGAGCTTGCTATTTTACAGGAGAGTTGTTTTAGTATTAAGACACTTCCTCTGAAAATATCTCAAGTTACAAGCTTGTGGAGATTAACCTGTAGGGAATTTCAGGTGTTTTGACACTAAATCCTTTAGGTGTTTTATTAAAGGCAAATGCACCTAAAGAGGGACTGTTCACACCAACAGAAAAAGTAAGTGTTAGATTGTCTTCCAGATCTTAGCAGGAATTTGCAGTGGAATTTAGTAATTGTGATGACTACTCTCCTCTATGTTTTTACCAGTTAATCACTGGCCTATATTGTTTCCTCACTTAAAAAAAAAAAACCATCCATGTCCACATTTGAGACAGATGCTTACATTTGACTAAAATCCAGTCAGTTTGCTGTGGTGGTTTTTTTTTTTATTACTAAGTAGTGCTTTCCAGATAGGTATAGCTGTGTCCAACTTGGCTATTGTTTTTTATTTCTTTTTTGTTTTGGATGCATCATTGACTTCGCTTAGCAAATACAGCTCTTCATGCAGAGCAGTGCCTCCTTGGGTCTGTTTGCTGGTTATAATTTCAGTGTTCTGAGCTTTTGGTGCTCTCGGGTGAAATCTGGAGTAAGTTACAATGCAAAGGTTTCTCTATACTCTCCTTTGGGAAAGAAAAGAAGAAAGTTTTACTTTTCTTTAAAAGAAACCCAAAAATTCACCTGTTAAGTTTTCCCTCCTTGCTAGGAAGTAATAGACCTGGTAGAGCAGGGAATTGTACCGGAACTTTTATATTGTTTGGTTTGGTTTGAAAACAAAAATTGCAAAAAATACACCCCACCAACCCAGTTTTCAGTAGACTTGATAAATAAATTGCTAATCGTCTCTGGAGATTGTAGAAAATTGTGGTTAAACCTGTGCATTTGATTTGAAAGAAGTAAATTTTTGTTTTGTAGTTTACAATGGAAAATAGATGGTTGAAGCTGGGGAGTCTGCATTTGAATGTCAGGACGTGTGGTCTCAGCTTCCTCCAGAAGCCGATGTTTGCTTCAGGTGGTGGTTGTTTTGGACACCTAGAGGAGGGTATGGCGCAAGGTATCACCAAGAAATTATTGATACATCTTGGAAATGGTTTACAAGGGTCAACTGGCAGTATAGTAACCATTTCTTCCTTGGTTGTTTCTAATTTCTGCTATTAACCTACCTCCAACTGATCTGTGCTTCTTGCAAGACTTTTGTTCTCCCTCTTCTTGAGCTACAGGTGACAAGCTCAGTTGTGTCATCAGGTGTGGTTAATCTAGGAGCTATGTACACTGAACAAACCTTCCCTGGCTACCAGCAGCACATGGAAGCCACCGAGCAGTTGATGTGCCTCTGACCTTTCTCATGTCATGCAGTTACTGGTGCTTAACAATGCTAGCCAGGACTTTGTCTGCATTAAGCTGACATGTCAGACTGAAGTAACTGACAGTGGGTGTAATACTGCCAACTAAACTATTTCCCAATTTACATACTATGTGGTTTGACCAAACCATTGACACTTGGTGACTCCAGAATGAGATTGTTTTCATGGCTGCTTCCCAGCTGGTCCTAGGCTGTTTGCAGTGGTCATGTCAGGTATCTGCTTCATTCCTAAGCCCCATTTGTCTGTGACGTTGCTCTGGTGTGATCCCGCTTGTACCTAGCCCAGCTCTTGCTACTCAGACCTTGGCTGGGCATAGGTCGGTGGGTGGTGAGCGGCTATATCATTTGTTTTATTTTCTCTTATTCAATATTATTATTAGTGGTGGTAGCATTGTTTTCATTGCATATTTTTATTGGTATTGTTAGTATTATTGGCAATGTTAATATTATTGATATCACTATTTTATTAATTTCAATTTAATTATTAAATTGTTCTTACCTCAACCCAGGAGTTTCCTCATCTTTTCCTCTGATTATCCTCATCCGCTGGAGGGGAGGGGGTGAGTGAGCGGTGTTATGGTTCTTCATAGAATCACTAAGGTTGGAAA